CCGGCCCTGTGCTTTTGTAATTTTAAGAGATACAAAAGAATTGCTTTCTATGGAGATTGCACCTATTTGTACTCCCACAAGCAATTAGTGCCTATAGTCTCATACCCTCTCCAGTAGAGGATGTTGTCAAACTTTAGGACTTTTGCCAGTCCCAGAGGTAAAAATGATATTCAGTGTGGCTTTAATTTGCATTTTTCTTATTATGATTGAGGTTGCATTCTCTTTACATATTCGAGAGACACTTTTATTTCTTTTCCTCTGAACTATTCATGTTCTTTGCCATTTTTTTATTAGGTTATTGTTTTCTTTTCTTTTTTTTTTTTTTAGAACTTTCTTTATACATGGAAGATAAGCCCATCTGTTATATGAGTAGCAGTTTTTTCCCCCTAGTTTATGTATTTTGTCTTTGCTTTAGTTTTTGCAATGCAGGAGTTTTGGGGTTTTATGGTAATTGAATTTATTAATTTTATTTCATGATTATTAGATTACAATTCATAGTTAGGAGGGCTTTTCCCATTCCTAAAAAACTCCAAGTTTTCTCCTTCTACTTTTTCTTAAACATTAAATCTTTGATTTATTCAAAATGTTTTGGGGCAAAAAGTGCCAGGTATGGATCCAACTTTTATTTTTTTATCCAGATGGCTTTCCATTTGCCCTAGTGATATTTATTGAATACTCTATCCTTCCTTACTGACTTGAGGTACAGCTTTTATTACATTCTAGATTCCCATATGTAGTCACTTTTATTATTGATCTATTTTGTTTGATATTGATCTATTTATATTTATTTATATCTATTTATATCAGTTGTTATATTCATAGTCAGTTCCATTCTGCTGTATTTAATGAAGCTTTTATAATACATTTTAACGTTTTGTTGGGGTTGTCTTCTAGTCCTTTCTCTTTGCTTTTTTTTAATTCTGAGCTTTCCTAACAATTCTTATTTGTTAATTTTTACATATGATCTTTAGGATTAACTTGTCTAGTTTCAAAAATAAATAAATAAATGAATACAAAGAAAGGTTGGTATTTTAATTGAGATCATGCTGAATTTATAAATTAATGTGGGACTTGGCATCTTTATGATATACAGTCTTGCTTTCTAAGAACATGATATGTGTTTCCACTTGTTCAAGCCTTCTTTTGTGTCATTTAATAGTTTTATAATTTTCTTCATAAAGTTGTTGCTATTGTAAATGGAACATTTTCTTCCATTATAATTCCCATTTCATCTTGTATATATGAAAACTATTGATTTGCCTATATTTATTTTATAGCTTATTGTCTTATTAAATTATCTTAATTTTAAAGTCATTTTTCAGTTTATTATTTTGGATATGTGTGGTAGATTGTAGTTTACAAATCTAGACACCAATATCTCCTAATCCTATATATTCTTTTTATAATGTAACATAAATACTTCATCGAAATGTGGGGATCTATGTTCCCTCCCCTTGAATCTGGGCAGGACTATGATTACAGCAGAAGTGACACTATATGACTTCTGAAGCTATTTCATATTAAATAATATACTTTTTACCTGGACCTGCTGGAATCCAGCCACCATACTGTGACAAAGCCAAGCAACCACATAGAAACAACATGCAGCCACATGGGATGAGGCCAAGGAGCCTCATGGAAAGGCCACGTATGCTTGACCTAGTCACAGCCTCAGCTGAGGTCTCAGTCAATAGCCAGCAGCAGTCATCGGATATGTAAGTGAGCCTTCAGATGACTCTAGCCTCCAGCTTTCAAGTCATCCCAGCAGACTCCCAGTGGCCCATAGACAAGCTTATTCTAGCACGTCCTGCCCAAGTTGCAGATTCATTAGCAAAATAAGTGTTTTTTTTTTTTTTTTTTTTTTTTTGTTTTTTTGTCTTTTTTCCGTGTCCGGCAACGGATCGCAACCCTCAGTGTTGCCCCCGTACCGGACCGGGGACCGGCAACGGGATCGCAAGCCTCGGTGTCGCTCCCGCACCTCGCTCAACCAGTGAGCGGGAACTGGTCTATACGTGGGATCCGAACCCTCGGACGGGAGCGCCGCCGCGCTTCCCAAGCGGCGCACCATCCAGTGCGCCACTGGGCCGGCCCCAATAAGTGTTGTTTTAAGCCACTAAGTTTTGGGTTGGTTTATTGGCAATAATAAATAACTGGAACAGGATGTGTGTGGGTGTTAGTTTAAAATCATATCGTCTGCAAATTGTGATAGTTATCTTTTTAATTTTAATTTTATAACTCTAATTTTTCTCTAGTTGTGATCTAGGGATAAGAACAACACATTCAATGTGATACATTATATCACATTCAGTGTGATACTCAGTGCTCCCTATCTGTGGGTTCTGCATCTATGAATTTAACCAAGTGCAGATGAAAAATATTCAGAAAAAAAAATACAACAGTAAAAAATAATAAAAATAAAAAGTACAGTATAACAACTTTCCTAGAGGTAATGCATGCAAAATGAAACAATTTGATATCACTGTACAGGGAGTTTATTGACATGTCTTATTCAGATCACTGGAGCCCTAGAAACTTCACAAAAGTGGATGATCCCTGAATTTTTTTGTGTGGGGGATATTTACCTATTATCCTCTGACATGCATGTGTTGCTCTGACATGCAAATGTGTCTCCCAAAAGTTCATGTATTGGAAACTTGATCTCCACTGTAACAGTGTTAAGAAGGTGGGAAATCCAGTTATGGTATTTGAAAAGTAGGAGTTTTAAGACGTGATTAGATTGTTGAGTACTATGCCCTTGTGAATGAATTGATCCATGAATGGAGTAATGGGCATGGTTCTGATGGCTTTATATGGAGAGTAAGTGAGCAGGTTAGTGCTCTTGCTCAGCCTATTCTTGCCAAGTGACACCCTTTTCACCATGGGACTCTGTAGAGAGTTCCCACTAAGAAGGCCCTCACCAGTTGTGCCCCCTGTGGACTTCCCAGCCTCTGACTGTAGGAAATAAATTTCATTTTCTTATAAATTACCCAGTTCCAGGTATTCTGTCATAAGCAACAGAAACAGATTAATACACGTGTCTTACCAAGGCACATGTGGTACGTGTTACATCCTCCAAGCAGTATTATATAATCCATGTGATGGAAACTTGACATCCCATGGAATGATTAGTCAATCAAGGTCACTGTGGTCTAAATTATAATGCCAGAATTGAAATAGTCTTGAGAAAAGATAGTAAAGCTATATTGCTGTCCTTGCAAGATAAAAGAAAATTTTAACAGCTTCATATCATGTACAGGGGATTGTATTGATTTACTCTAGCAAAAAGGAGACCTCTTCTGGAAGAGTTGCTGTTAAGTGGAGTCATCACCTAAGTAAGTTCACAATAATTCATTATCATACTCCAAAATCCACCAATCTTTTGTACACAGGCTGCTAGGGCTGCCATACAAAATATCACAGATTGGTGGCTTAAACAACAGAAATTTATTTTCCCACAGTTCTGGAGGCTAGAAGTACATGCTCATGGTGTCAGCAGATTTGGGTTCTTCTGAGGCCTCTCTCATTGGCTCACAGATGGCTGTCTTCTTACTGTGTCCTCACATAGTTTTTCCTGTGTGTGTGTGCATTGCTGGTGTCTTTGTATGTCCAAACGTCCCCTTTTTAATAAGACATTGGATTAGGGCTCACCCTAACGGCCTCATTCTATCTTAATCACCTCTTTAAAGGCCCTATGTCCAAGTACAGTTACATTTTGAGATACTGGGAGTTAGGCTTTCAATATGTAAAGTTTAGAGGGACACAATTCAACCTATAACACGGGTCAAACAGGTAAGTTAAATGTAGTTGTGATGGCAACCACAAATTCTGGATCCTTTTGAATCTTAGATGGTGGCACTCATCATGGTGTTCTTCCAAGGATGTGCTATTGCTTTGCTTTTCTGTTCTGGTGGGTTTCTGCTTGACCTTTTCTACTTAATAGTTCCAACTCCATGAATTAGGGACCCAATATGGTGATTCTGCTAGGTGCATTCTATTTCTATCAACCATGCTCTCAGAAATGGGACATATAAATATAGAGCACGTTGGGCCTGAATTGCACCATTGTCTCATATTAAAGTCACCACCCTTGTTCTTTTTGTTTACAATTTCCAGGTGTACTTTTGCCTATTTTCTTTTCAATCATTCATAGTTCATTTTGTGTCTGTTTTGCAATATGCAGCATAGAGTTGGGTTTTCCTTTGTGATATAATCTGAAAACCTTTTTCTTTCAATATGTGAATCAAAGCCTTTTATATTTATTGATTTAACAGATATGTTCGGCTGGAGGTCTTTCATAATATTTTATGATATGTGTTATGTTTTCTACACAATCTTATTTATTAGCTGAACTCCTTCAGGTTGAAATTTTTAATAATTTAATTTGTAAAAAATTGGATGTATGTAAAGTATAAACATATTTACTTTTAAAGTATATCTACTTTGAATTATCAGTAATTAATTATCAGGAGACTCCTAGAAACTTCTCCTCTCCTCCCTTCATGTAGGTAACTGGGTCCTTGGCAGTGGCCAATGAGAATAAACAGTTTCATTTAGGAAATGGTTGCAGAGAAGAAAAAAGAAATAAAGAGAATGTATGTGTATGTGCACGTGCGTGAGTGTGTGTGTGTGAGAGAAAGACAGAGAGAAAGAAAGAAAGAGAATGAAAGAAAGGGAGAGAGATTTTTAGCATTTCTTAAATTACATTACCAATTAAAGTTTAATAATTATGTTTGGAGTGAATGGTTTTACATCACTTGTTGGTATCTCTTTAGCATGGACAATCAACACCTATATTTGAGCAATATTTTATAATTTATATAATATTCTATTTCCTACTTTAAAAATTATGTTCAAAGTCTATAAATTAGTTTTAAAAAATTATTCTTCTTGGAATTATCAAAAAGGTACACATTTTTTAAATCAGAAAATTATAGGAAAGAACCAGGTTTAGTAAAACCATTTTGAACAGATAATAAAAACAAAATAAGACACCAATTCTGTTAGGATTTTGAGATGCACCAAGCAGACATCAGGTTCAGAGTTGCTTGGTCTTTATTGAAGTTAGAGTTTGCATCGAGGAAAAGTTCACAAGATTAAATCAGGAGATCCAAATGCACTCAGGGTTTGGCTAAATTGATGTGATTATTACTAACATTGCCCATTTGAGGCAATTGTGGTGTTATTGCAATAGAAACATCTATCCTGCTTCCTCTCGGGCCCTTAGCGCAGCCTTGGCTCATTATTCCAGCCACCTTGAGGACTAACTACATGAATGAATTCCTCTACATCTGCCCCTCTGACTTCAACATATTTCTTAACAAGAAACACAAGAAAAGCTTACTCTTCCTTGATTAAATGGGGTTATAATTGCAAAAATGAAAATCCAAAGACCAATTTTAATTTCAAAACTAGAAAAGGGAAAAAAAGATGTTATCATAATGAATTTGGAAAGAATTCTTTCAAACACAATGAGGGTGAGTTGCTTTGGAAAGAACTGTCATCTATTTTTGTACATATTTAATAGAAAAGGTGTCCTCCCTCTGGGGCAGGGAGGTGGGGGCTGACGCCATCACTTCCTTTGAAGCTTTCTCTCCTGCACTGCCAATGCCAGAGGCGAATGAGGCTTCAATGGTCCAGCTCTTCTGTTTAGACTTGGATCTCATTCCAATTTAGGCTTCTCTTTCTCTTCTTCCATACCTAGAAATGCAAGCAAAGGGCTTTATTTGAGTATCAGGTTAAACTCTGAGCAGTTTTGCCAAAGCTGTTCACAAAAACTCTCACCTCCCCACCCACCCTCCCACACCCATTAAGAAGGAAACCCAACCCATTTATAACTTTCTCCAGAAACATCCTTGGTGACCTCTCTCCCCACCTGTTCCCTGGAATCAAGACACACATCTCTGGGACACACCCAGCTTCTATGGCTTCTGGGAGTGAGGCTGCAAGTTGCTTCTTGATTCGCTGAGTTTGCATGGAAACTGCAGCCAGACTGCTTTTTAACCAGCTTCTGGCAGCAGGAGAGGTGCAGCTCATGAGTTTCAAACAGACTTCATTTATTTTTACTTTAGTCCTGTCTCTTCCCAAGGCAAAGACTCTGGATTTTCAAAGGCCAAGAAGTCTCTTTTTTAAGCTCATGAAGATGTTATTAGCCACAGAACTGTTTATTTCCAAACCCATGTATCTTAAACTCAGGTTCTCCCTCTGTCCAACCCAATCCTGGTAGAACTGTGTTTTTCTTCCTGAAGGGCTTCTATGTACTGAACCAGCAAGAACTTTGCCTGTTGTCTGTAGTGAATAGTCAGTGATGTTTCATTTTCCTAGAGATGAAAATGTTCAAGTCATTCTCATGAATTATAGTTAAATCTGGCAAATGCTCCCTGCTTCTTTTTTCTTTTGCTTCTAGCTGAAACACTTTTCTAACCATTCCAAATTCTCAGAGACTTTATGTTTGTTTGTTTCAATAGCAGCCCTAGAACGAAAGAACTTAAAATACTGCTTTGCAGGTTTTGTTAGTATTCTTTTATAAAATGCAAGCTCTCTGAGGGCAGGGCCCTTAACTGTTTTGTTCCTGATTATATCCCCAGCACCTAACACAGTGTCTGTCTCATAATAGCAGCTCAATTAATCTTCGCTGAATAAATTAATAAACACTGAACATAGAGACAGGAGAAGGCTGAACTAGTGGGACAGGAGTAGAACAAAACATGGGACTTCACAATATCAAGTCTAACCCCTAAGGGTTATAATGATAAGACTTACATTAGGAAGGACGGCCTCCCTACCCCCCAGCTCCCAGCTCCTACTATATGTCTCGTGAGGTCAGAGTGGAATGTGGGTATCACGCTTTGAACAGGTGTCCTCAAACAGTCTTTTACGTTTGCTTTTTACAGCTAAGGAACTGGCAGAGATCTACAATATTTTTTCCAAAGTATTTCCCAGAAATCATATTAAGGAAAACTTCAAATTGAGCAGTAAGGACATCTGAAGGGAGGAGGAATAGGGTTGAAGGCCAGAAGGTCCGACGTGCTTAGTTGTTGGGTAACCAAGGCAAAGGCAGAAAACACAACACGCATTCCATTCAAACAGCACACATAACTGGAGTCCCAACTTCTGTCCCATGTTCCCTCTCCTGTGGAGAAGCTATCAGGGACTAATAACAGTTTGTGTGTCTTTTTAAAGTCTGTTTCCTCCAAAGTGTTCTCCTACAGATGGGTGACTTGGCAACAATGGTGGAATCTTCAAAGGCGGGGGTGGAGAACAGGGGGTGTTCACCGACCTAGAGAAGGAAAATGGCTCCCCACCTACTTTAGTTTGGCAGCTGTGAGGTAGAGGGAAAAAATTAGGCAGCTGTAAATAATGTTTGGAAGAACCACACGTATAATTTCCACACAAAATGCATAAATAAACCTGTCACAAAGCTGAGGCAGGATGCACTTGTGGGAACATGGGGACAAGACTGATTGACCTTGAGGGAGTCAGTCACATGTGCTCCCTCCAGGCTGGGAGGGGGGCTCATTGTGGGGGGCAGTGCTCAGACATGGCTGGGCCTGGGTGGGAAGCCATGTGGATGGGCGGTTGGAGGAGACATGAGGAGGATTCTGCTCACATAGCCTGACTCTGACCGTCTCTCCTTTCTCCCCTCTTGTCTGCCTTCTCTGCCCTCAGCCAGCCTTTTGCTTTTGGGCACTCTCATGTCTGGTCTTGTAAAATTTGACTTTAATAAGACCGGTCACCTCAGTCAGAGACACTGGAATTGGGACCGATTCTTAGCTTAAGTACAGAAATACTTCGGCCATCTCCCTCCCGCCCCTCAAATTCTTATGTTGAAGTCCTAATCCTCAGTACCAGAGAATGGGAGAGACTGCCAAGGGGGTGGCTGCACAACCGTTTGCTAAAGAAATCAGGTATGTGACTCACAGATCCACTCAACCATCTGAGCAGAAGCCAGGGATAGAGACGTGGTTATCTGTGAAAGAACGTGGACACTCTTGTCTGATGGCTTGGATCCCCATGAATTGCATGGAAGGCCAATATGGTTTTTGAGAATTTTATACCAGTAGAAACACTGCCAGCCTGGACTGAAAGGGACAGAGATAGGACACAGTGAAGTACCAGTGTCTCTAAAGATGGTCCAGGGAATGGCTCCCCCTTGGTTCCAGAGGGTGGGGCTGCTGCCCAGGGCTGAGGGGGTGGGATTGCTAACTATGGTATGGGCCTGGAAGGCAGGGCTGCATACCTGCTCCCCGGTGAGCATCCAGCCAAAGACAATTATTCTCAAGCCTTAAAATGGGATGGAATTTTCCCTGCTAGTTTTTAGATCTGCTTGGGAACTATGACCCTTTTTGTCCCTGCAATTTCTCCCTTTTGGAGTAGGAATGTATATCTTTGCCCTTGTCCCACCATTGTGTTTTGGAAGCAGGTAACTTTTTGTCAGTTTCACAGGTATCAGTCGCACAGCTGGAGAACAATTTTGCTTCAGGATGAATCATACCCCGAGTCTCATCCATACCCGATATATATGAAATTTAAGATAAGATTTTGGACTGAAGAGCTGATATTGGAGAGACTTTTGGGGTCCTGGGATGGAGTGCGTGTACTTTGCATGTGTAAAAGACATAAATTTGGGGGAGGAGAAGGTAGAGTGTTATGGGCTGAACTGTGTCCCCCGAAAATTCATATGTTGAAGTTGTAACTTCCAGTATCTCAGAATGTGACCTTATTTGGAGATAGGGTCTTTACAAAGTTAAAATGAGGTCATCAAGGTGGGCCTGAATCAAATATGACTGGTGACCTTATAAAAAGGTGAAATTTGGAGTCAGTCTCAAGTACAGGGAGAATGCCACACGAACACGAACATGGATAACTACAGGCCAAGGAGAGAGGCCTGGAACAGATCTCAGAAGGAGCCCATCCTGCCAATGCCTTGATTTTGTTCTTCTAGACTCCAGAACTGTGAGCCAATAAATTTCTACTGTTTACACCACCCAGTTTGTGGTATTTTTTTATGGTAGATTAGCAAACTAAAACAACTTTCACAAAGCCATCTTGAGTTACTTTCTTTTAAAAAGAGCAAATACTTAACTACTAACTTAGCCTGTTTTAGAGGCTTCTTGAAAGTTCACATTTCGTATCAGGTTGGCCTATTTTGTTATTTTATAAGCTAGGTTTGTGGTTCTCAGTGAGAATTCCAAGCTCTCTTGTGTCTGGGTTTCCAAAACATGGTGACATTGTGATAGTCCACTAGAAATAACACAGGATTGAACATCAGTTACTAGATGATGGCTCTGCCACCACCTATTTTGGTGGGTCACTTAAGATTTCTGGGCTTCAGTTGCTTTTAGTAAAAGCAAAGGGTCAGTTTAGATGATTCCTAATGTCCTTTTCGGCTGTAAGATTCTATAATAATGTGATTTTATCTTAAAGTTGTAGCTAACATAACATAACCATGTAGAGACATTAGAAATCTTTATGGGAAAAAGGAAGGTGGCTCAAATGCAGTATTCCTTCTTCCTGGCGTATTTTGCAATAATTGGTGTACAGTCATCAGGACTGTACTCCATTGTATGCAAATCATTCTAACGCGCGTGCGCACACACACAAGCCCAGAGCACACACTGCTTTTTTTTTTTTTTTTTGTCTTTTGTCTTTTTTCTGTGTCCGGCAACGGATCGCAACCCTCAGTGTTGCCCCCGTACCGGACCGGGGACCGGCAACGGAATTGCAACCCTCGGTGTTGCTCCCGTGCCCCGCTCAGCCAGTGAGTGGGAACCGGTCCGTATGTGGGATCCGAACCCTCGGACGGGAGCGCCGCCGCGCTTCCCAAGCGGCGCACTATCCAGTGCGCCACCGGGCCGGCCCCGCACACACTGCTTTTAATCATCAGTTTCAAACCCAATTATGAACAGAACCAGGCTCCTAATGTGACTGAGTAAAGTGGCCAGGTGAGAACAGGGTAAATTCGGGAGCCCTCTATAGAAGACAACTGATACTCAATTCTAACCCATTGTTGCCAGAAGAGAGCAGTGGGCTTGATGTTCTCAGTTCTTAAACTATTTGATAAGAAGGTGAAAACCCGGCTTCTGTGTGAAATCCCCAAATTTTTAAATGTTGGTTCAAAAACAAAAATCTCACTATAAATGCCTAACAAAACTTCTCGGTGGGTAAAATTTAGGGGAGGCCATCAGTTTGTGACTCCTCTTGTAAGTGAGGAAGATGACTACTTGACACGAAACAGCTGCCTCTGTGGAATTACCTAATGGTCCTATGTAGATAAAAATAATCTCTATACCTGAAATGAATTACAAAAATGTTAGTCAACCTTAACTCGTGTTACTTAAGAGAACAGTATACATTAAATTGATAGAGCATTCAAAAATCTGTTTCATTATTCACTTTTAACTCCTTACTCAAAGCTGCAAAGAAGTATTCTATCTAGTAGTAAGTAAGACAAATATTCTGGGTTGAATATTTATCTCTCCTGGTTTTCATATCATCTCTCATAGAAATTGTAGAACAATGGCCAAATGACTATCAGAATCAAGCAAACCAAGGGGAAACAGGCAGTCATAAATACTTCCTGAGTAACACATATTGAACATATTAGCTTTGTATAAATATAGCCTTTCTTTCAAAGAGCAAAGTTTACATTTTATTTTCAAAATATTCTTTTAAGTTAACTATGTACTTTTATAAATTAACTAATAGGGAAGGATGACTATTCCCTTTGAACAGAGGGGAACCTTATTAAAAGATTCATTTCTGGTCCCCCAAGCTGTGGCCTGAAGTGAATAAAAATTTTTGACACTTTTTCTAACAGACCACTTACTAAAATCAAAAGCTGCTGAGAAAAGAAACCCCAAATTCCTCTGGGCTATTTAACATTGGCTAATCACTTGACACATATCGTCTTAGAAGATCCACACACACAAAAACATCTGATTCAATAACCATGCGATGACTGAACTTTATTTGTCTTATTAGATTGAGTTCCTGGCATAGTTTCTGGTATAAAGTAGGGTGCTCAATGTTTGTGGAATAGAGTCCATTTACTGGGGAGGTCTAGAATGCGGTGACAGTGTTAGAGGAGATATCCAGGGCTCTTTAAAATCCACAAACCATCTTGCCTTTGGATGTATTTTCATGCTGGACTCAAATCACTACATTTCTGTGCTGTTGCTTTTTCCACCTTCCAATTTTTATGTTATCTTACATACTCTTTGGACAGCTTTTGTACAGCTTGGATATGTTTATGTGCCTTGCCAAGAAGGAGGCTCTGCCATAAATGGAAACAAAAAGAGAAATCAAATCATAGGTTAAGAGAGTTTTTACAGCAATTAAATATTACACTTTATTGCCTGTACCTCTTTGCCACCTTAAAACCTTCAATATGACAACCACCAGCGAGTCACAGTGGCCAGAGGCATTCTATACTGCTTAGAGTTTTAGCAGAATGGTGGTGAGACCTTTCTAAGGTCACTGCACCCCCGCAAATGATGACATAGAAAGTGAGGATCTGGGTGACTTTCAATGACACTGTTTGGTTACATTTAAAAACTTACTATTTTGGGGCCGAGCCTGTGGCGCACTCGGGAGAGTGCGGCGCTGGGAGCGCAGCAGTGCTCCCGCAGCGGGTTCGGATCCTATATAGGGATGACCGGTGCCCTCACAGCACTCACTGGCTGAGCGCGGTGCGGCCGGCCCTCAAAAAGGACAAATAAATAAATAAATAAATAAATAAAAACTTACTATATTATTTGGGGTTCCTTTAGTTAAGGGAGCATTTTGTTAGGGTGAACTTCCCCAATTTTTTTTCTGTTAACACTAACTTTTTCCCTACATAAATTTACAGACATGTTTCTTCCCTCATTAAATTTGGATTTACTAGTTAGTAAGACTAACTGAGTAGTAAATCTTTCAGGTAACTGCTAGACCTCTTAAATTAATATTGTAGTTATAGAAATGAAACTCTTCATAAGAGATCCTGTGTGAAGGATAAAAGAAGAGGCTACAGTGGAATTTCCTCTTAGCCTCTGCATACACTCTTGTAGGCAGCAATTCTCTTATTTTAGGCTCCCCTAAGCAATACTTACTTCTTTGTGTGTCCCAGATATAGTTGTTCAGGACTTCTCCCAGCAGGTACAGAAAGTTCATTAAGATGGTTGTAGACCCAAAGAAGATGATTCTGGCTCCTGGGCCAATGTGTTCCAGGAAAGGGTACACCCACATGCCGGTGACATGATGCACCCAGCACACCCTGCGGGGGAATTAGACAGGAGACAAGACAGTAGTTACTCTTATGGCAGACGTCAAAGCTGCTGTGTTGCACATATATACACCTCACCTCCAACATAACCATTCTTCAGCAGTTGCCAGTCACAGGTTGGCTTCTGATACAAGAAACTTTGTTGTTTGTTTTCTTTTACTTTTTATTCTGCAATAATTTTAGACTCTCCAAAGAGGTGCAAATATGGTACAGAGAGCTCCCATATCTTCCACACTCAGCTTCTCCTCATGTTAGCATCTTGTATAATCCTGGGACAATTACTGAAACTGAGAAAATTAACACTGGGACAGTAGTACTAACTAAACCACGGGTTTTATTTGGAATTCCTGTGTTTCCGTGAATGTCCTTTCTCTGCTACAGGATTCAGTCCAGGATCTCACATTGTATTTAGCTGTCACTTCTCCCTGGTCTCTTCCACTCTGGCAGGTGCTCAGTCTCTCTTTGACTTTGATGACACTTGAAGGGTCTGGTCAGGTGTTTGAAACTCTTGGGTTTTTAAAATACTGTTAATCTTTTTCATTTCCTCTTTACATAATGAAACAATGTAGCATTAGGCAACCACACTACACTAAAACCTAGGTGAGTATGGGCCAGGTATGTCACCATGCTGCCTTCCAACAAGATGCCAGCTATATGCCATATGCTGGCAGAACCACCCCACAACCTAGCTGATACGGCTGCCTGCTCCTCTCATCTTCAGATCCCACACTTATTTCATTTTCTTTTCTACCTTACATACTTACTTGTAATTATTTTATTTGTGTTCTGGAGATATTTTTGGCTCAGTGGGAAAAGCAACATCATTAATCACCACTACTTTCAAAAGTTTAGTTAGAACACTTGCTCCATTGGCTTGGTCTGGACGTGACTGCTAACACAAAATATTCTTGGGTTCATTACTTTATCAAATGTTGTCAATTTTGAAGACTAAATAAAATACAAATAACTTCACCGTATGGGGAATAAAGATTACTTGTTATCCATATGTGTTCTGGGGTCACTGTCCTTACCACCCACGTTGTCACTCTTTAAGCAGTTTATCTACATATACAGTACCTACACATGCACCTCATTGAGGCAGGAAACCTGGGGTCTTTACCTTTGAGCTTGCATTAGCAATGAGGGTGCCATCACTCCCTCACCCCAAACGAGATAAAAATCCATTCTGGGGATGGTGGTGGTGAAACCATCTTACTGTTTTTATGTAGAAAGCATATGTATATACATGTATTTATATATGTATATATTGTATACACACACAGATAAAATCATGTATTTATATATACATACACACACACACACAGAGCACATAAACAGGTGTACATATATCTGTGGTATTAAAGTTTCATGGCCCAGCAATTCCACTCCTAGGTACACATCCAAAAGAATTAAAACCAGGGACTTGAGCACGTATTTGTACACTAATGTTTATAACAGCTAAAAGGTTGAAACAACCCAAGTGTCCATCAATAGATGAATACATAAACAAAATGTTATATATAATATATATATGCAATGAAATATTATTCAGCCATAAAGCAAAATGAAATTTTGATACATGCTACAACACAGATGGACCTTGAAAACATTTTGCTAAATAAGCCAGACATAGGACAAATCTTGTATGGTTCCACCTATATGAGATACCTAGAACAGGCAAATTCATAGAGACAGAAAGCACAAAAGAGGTTACCAGGGGCTGGGGGGAGTGGGGAATAGGGAGTTATGGTTTTTTTTTTTTTTTTTTTTTTTTTTG